AAGAATGATGCACAATTCAACAAGTCCCTTTTCCAAAAAAAAAAAAAAAGAAAAAAAAATCAATAAGGGAAATATAATATTCAAATCTACCCTAAAACCAAAGCAAAATGAAGCAATTTATATCAGCACAGAGTGTCACCAGCTAATATAAATACAATTGACTAGAGCTCGTTTGGTTGGAGGATTCGTTATCTTATTCGAATTATAGTTCATGGTTCGTTACAGTATTTTCTCTCATAAAAAATACATGTAAATTGAAAATGATTCTAATCTCATAATTTTAATCCATCAACCAAACGGGTTCTAAAACGACAAACCAATCAAAAGAAATAAACGAAACGACAAAACAACAATATGAGCTACCCAATAAAGCAACAGCAACGAACGACATTTAAAGAGATAAACGACAACACTCTTTTTTTAGCCGGAAAAATGACAACACTCTTAACTCACTCTTAATGGTGGTACCGAAGCTCCTAGATCAACTCTTTTGTGAGTTTTTTTTGGTCTTTTTTCTGCAATAAATTTTTTGTGAGATTTTTAGTGCATATAAAATACTTATCCACTCCATACGACAAAAATAAAAAATAAAAATAAAAATAATTCTCCCATAAAATAAAATCTGAGTGGGCCACTAAATTAGTCGGCCCAAGAATGTAGCCCAAGTCTAAAAGTGTTAGTAGGGCTCTCGTCCAACTCTCGGGCTGTAAAGGCCCAGTCATAGAGTGGTAGTTTCGTAGTTTTTCAAAATCACAAGGTCTATTTATATTGATTCTTGGTATAGATACCCGCGTCATAGCAAGCTCCTAGGGTTTTTCCGCACCGGAGGAGGAAAAAAGCAGCAGCCACAAACAACAAGAGCAGCCATGGTTCTCAAGTACGCCTCTCTCTCTCTCTCTATATATATATTTATATATATATAATTTCGTTTATGCGAATAGCTAGATCTAGTTATTTGATGTTTTTTTTTTCAATTGTTGAATATCTTTAATCCTTAGCTCTGTTCAAATTCAGAGGCCGGTTAAATTTTTTTAGGGGAGCTTAATTTCACTTGTTGTTGCTGTTGATGATGATGAAATTGTTGAAATTGATATTTTTTTTTCGTTTTCGGGATTGTGACAATAATTGGCTTTGTTACACGTTAAAGATTTGGGATTTTAGGGCTTAGATTGTCATGGTGGATGATTTTCTCTAGGGTTCAATATTTAAGATAAAGAAAACTAATCTATAAATAATTTGTTTAGAAATTATATATTGGATTAAGATTATTTGGGCTTGTTTGAAAAATCTGGTGAAGTTATTTGGTTGTTCTGCTCCTAGGATATATATGATGGGAATTTTAATTTAGTTTTCTGAATATTAAGTGGCAAAGAATTATCGGTTTTCATCAATAGTTTGAATCTTTATACTTAATGTCCAAAGTTGTGTTTTGATTTTTGATTTTGGTCTTTTAGGACGGAGCTCTGCCGTTTTAGTGGTGCCAAGATATACCCTGGGAAAGGCATCAGATTTGTTCGTTCTGATTCTCAGGTAAATTAACACCTAAATTTGTTCAACTATTTTGCCCATGTTTCTTTTTAAATTTAACCCCTAGTTTTTATACAATGCGGGATCAAACTTGCACCCTCCCAAACCCAAGCCCCACCCCACCCAATTATTTTGCCCAAGTTTTTACTGGTCAAGTCCCTTCCCGGTTGTTGCTTTCGTCTTTCGGACATTGGAGAGGGAAGTTGATCTGTTGGTAACTGTCGATCTAAAGTTTTTTTTTTGGGAACTGTTAGGTGTTCTTGTTTGCAAATTCCAAA